AAATTAGTATATCTCGGTCACATTAGGAACTACTTTAATTCACTCTAATATTTTTATAGTATGTAAATAACACCACCATTCATCTAAGTATTTTTTTCAACACTTAAAGGAAACTATTTCAGCTTTTATCTAGCATCAAACATTAATTTATAGCTTGAATTTTAACAATTAGATTTATCCACTTATTTTTTATCTATTGATTTCAGCAACTTAAATTTCAGCCTCATAATTTAAATAATTTAATTTATACTTTCTTAGCATGGTAGTATTTGCACCATTCAATCTAATCAACCAGTCATAAATACTCACATGTAATTAACATTTCACACAAGGCAATCTCGTTTATACTTGATTAACCATGTAATTTTCATAGGAGAGACTGCAGCTCTACTTGCTACACTGACTTTGAGACCAATGCTGGTGGACAGGATTAGAGTGGCACAATTTGATCTCTAGATTGAGAAATTGAAGAAAGAGGTGAAGAGTGGGGTGAAGACTGATTTTATTATTGATACTGATGATGTTTTGTTATTTGGATCTCGATTATTTGTACCACATGATGCAGGGCTAAAAAGAGGGATTATGGAGGAAGCACACAGTTCAACATATGCTATGCATCTCGGTAATATAAAGATGTATCGTGACCTGAGAGAGCATTACTGGTGGCCTGAGATGAAACAAGAGATAGCTGAGTTTGTGGTTCGATGTTTGGTATGACAGCAGGTGAAGGCTAAGCACCAAAGACCAGCCGGGTTATTACAATCTCTACCAATTCTAGAATGGAAATGGGAGCATATTACTATGGATTTTATGAGTAATTTGCCCAATACGCAGAAAGGACATGAGGCTATATGAGTGATAGTTGATAGGTTAACGAAGTCTGCTCATTTTTTAGCTATTAAAATGTCTTATGCTCTTGACAGACTAGCTAGATTATACATTGCTGAGATTGTGAGATTGCGAGATTGCATGGTGTACATGTATTTATTCTCTCTGACAGGGATCCACGCTTTACTTCTAGGTTTTGGCCTAGCTTATAGACTACATTGGGCACTACTTTGAAGTTTAGTACAACATTCCAACCACAAACAGATGGACAGTCAGAGCATACTATCCAGACATTGGAGGACATGCTGAGAGCTTGTGTCATGGACTTTCGAGGTAATTGAGATAATTATTTGCCTCTGATTGAATTTGCTTATAATAGCAGTTACCAGAGTTCAATTGAGATAACACCATATGAAACATTGTATGGCAGGAAGTGTAGGACCCTAGTGTGCTGGAGTGAAATGGATGAGAGGAAGTTATTGTGTCCAGAGATTGTGCAGATGACTGCTAATCAAATTAAAGTTATAGAAGATAAATTACGAAGTGCACAGAGCAAACAAAAAAGTTATGCTGTCAATCGCCGACGTGACTTGGAATTCAAGGTGGGTGATCGAGTGTTTTTATGGGTATCATCTTGGAAATGGGTCATTCGTTTTGGCAGGAAAGGGAAGTTGGCTCCTAGGTATATTGGTTCGTATATCATTGTAGAGCGGATTGGAGCTGTTGCATACCAATTGAAGTTACTAGTAGAGTTGTCCAAGTTGCATGATGTATTCCATGTGTTTATGCTACGGAAGTATATGCCTGACCCATCACATGTGTTGACTTCAGAACCGATGGAATTAGCTGAGGATTTGACTTATATAGAGCAACCGGATCAAATTTTGGGTAGGAAGGAGAAGGTATTACGTACAATGACGCTACCGTTGGTTAAGGTTTTGTGGCATAGTCACTCCGTAGAGGAAGCAACTTGGGAGACTGAGGAGAGTATGCGGGCTCAATATACACATTTGTTTAGTACAGGTAAGTAATTTCGAGGACGAAATTTTTATTAGTGGGAGAGAGTTGTGAGACCCAATCACGCATTGCACATATATTAATATAATTTTGTGGGTTAAATTATAATTATGTAAACTTATTAAAAGGTGAATTAAATTAAATCTTTTATAGTCATGATGTATGTGAGCATACATTGGGTAGGTGGACCCCGTTAGTGATGCATGAGTGAGACCATTTATAGGAATTTCATGTGTAAAAATATTAGTGGGTCGATTTTAAAATTATTTAAAAATTTGGGGGAAGCAAGTGTAATTATTCACCTAACTTTACACATGTTTTTAAAATAAAAAAATGGTGTGCCGTGTTTGTTTGAGTGTGTGTCGTGTGTATGTGTGCTTTATGGGGTAAAGTGTGTGTGTGTGTTTAACATAGAAAACAAGTGTGTGTGTGTCTGATGAAAAACTATTGAAGCCGAGGGCGAGCAGAGCAAAGGAGGAAGACGTCAAGAAAAAAAATAAGTGTGTGTGTCCATTTGAACCGTGAGTAAGGAAGGTATAAGAATTTAAGTTTTGAGTTGTGATTAATTTTTGTATGTATGTATTTGTATATGTGTGGGATGTTTTAGCATGTTTTAATTTAAATACATGAGCTGTCTTATTTTATTTTAATGGGTTGTTTTAATTCAAATTTCATGGGCTGATTTAGTTAATGTCAAATTAGATTTTGTATGGGAGTAATTAAATATAATTAGCATAATTAACGGGCTATTAAAGATAGGTGCCAAATGAGTATTAAAATAAAGATGGGAAAATGTGAAAAAAATGGTTATTTGAAATATTCGGTATGTTTTTGAGGACTAGGTTGAAAACGAAAATTATGGGACTGAAATGAGTGGTTTAAAGGGCCAATTAGGGTCTGTTGTGCATTGATAAATGTGTATGTGAATTTAAGTGTAGCGGTTTTAAATAAAAAGTGCGATAGAAGTGGAAAACGGGTGTCGGTAACTCCGAAAGTCTAATTTCTAAATGTTATTATCACATATGCGAATTTTAATCCAAATGACCTAAAATTTTGCATGTAGCATTTTTAAATAATGCTTGATGTGAGAATGTGACTTTCGAATGCAAATGAATATGATATCCAGTACGAAATGTATGTAATGTTGGAAGTGTAGTTTTTAGGATTCGGGGTCGAAATGTATGGAAATGGGCCCCCGGTCAATGTGTTGACCAACTTAATCCTAATTGTGATGAATGAGATTGATTTTGGGAATTTAGGGAGGAAATGTGATTCCTAGAATAAAAGTGCTAATGCGTGAATAGATAGTGCTGTAACCGAGGTTACCGGGGCACCTTACGGTGCATCATTTGCATGCATTAGTGCATGATTAATTATTAAATGTGATAACCATATTGATATTGTAATTACACATACGTTAGGTGGAACGAGTGAGACAGTTGGTATTAGCACAGGTACGGTGTCACCGAAAGGATCCACTGATAGGATGAGAGGACTGTAAATTTGTACATCTGAGGTGGGTGTATATCTTTATATGTTTTGAAAATGCTATTATCAGATGATAGTAAATGATAGAATTTAATAGTAATTCTTTAAGATTATGTGCTATGTGCTTATGTGATTGGATGATGCTTTGTACTGTGTATTGTGTATTATGTAATGTGGCGCACTGTTTGAGACAAGGACGTCGATGCCTGGTCACTAGGCGTGCAGTGATGTGCTAGCACTATGGTGTTCCCAGGGGGTTCAGGAGACAAGGATCTATGTGGGATTGATTACCTAATGAGGGGTAGTGTGGATGTGATGTGGCTTGTGAATTCTTTGGAATTGGATTGATGTTGTTATTTGATACATGTATCTACTTCGGTGTATTACTATAATTTTCATTCCATATACTGCATGTATATTCGCTGAACGCGTGGTTTAGCTCACACCCCTATAGTTTCTTCTTTCAGGTATTATAGAGGATGATGCAGATCGGTCCGCTGTTCAGTTGATTGAGTCTTGTGCAACGTTAGTATGATACCACTCAGGTTGAGTGCCGGTTTGACTAACCGTTGGGCTGTGTATTATATTTCTAAGAGATATTTATGACAGGTTAATAGTATATAATTGTAAATAGACTCAGCAAGCATATTGTGATGTATGCTATGTGGGTGCGAGATTTTGTATATGTCTATAATTTGGAAAATAAACGATTGGTACAGGTGTTTATATATAGTAGAAGTTATCAGACAAGTTTTACCATCATGCTTAATAACTAAAGTGATGAGTGGTGTTGTTGCACCTGTGGGATTATATCATGTTTGATTAGTCCAGCTTATAATAATTATTCACTAGTGTATGAAAAACCTAGTGGTATCTCATCCTTGGGAGACCGAGATAGGGCGTGACAGGCACATTACACAAATTCAAGTTTAGATTAAGTCACACAAATAGTAACGGATAGTGTTAGATTTCTTACTTTTTTAGTAATGAAGGATAGTATTATAATTCTCATAATATCAAGTTTTGTATAAATAAGAAGTGTGTAGGGCAACGTAACCAATACACCATATTATTCTTATTCTTTCTTTTCACTCTCTTTACTCTCTTTTTTTTCTTCTTCATAAACCCTAATATCAAATTCACTCATTTAACAGCAGTTTTCTCAATAAATGCGAGACAGCTTCTACAAGCTTCTGGTACAGAGACTAATGACCTACTACAAAGCAGAATTTTGTGGGTTTTCAAGTTATTTGAATCTCGAGTTTGCATACGGAAACACGGGAAAAATATATGACTTCCTGATGAATGTCAATGAAACCATGCAAAAGTCCAAATATTATTGATCAATATTGGGCTAAATCACCTTGCAACGAAACCAAGCACCAACTAACACCACAGAATCCAACTTAGTTGATGAATATCTATGAGGTTAATCAAAAGTGTTAGTGGCTTTCTGAAAGTCTTATAATAAGTAATCACAATTGCATAGGTTTTCCCCAATGTCGCTTTGCAATACAAAGACAAAAAAATTATTGACTTCAAGCCTAAGCACAAACGCCGGGAGAAGAATATACATATTTCCAAATTATGTGCGACTAAGGGAAAAAAAACAAGAGTGCTTTCAAAATTATAAGCAATGAATTTTATCATATGACTACTTTTCCACAATGGAATTTCAACATCCACTATGTTTTCACTCGTTTTGCAGCTTAGAGTTATGGTACAATGCTGTTTTAGTCTTACTGGCAGGCTATATGACAAATGCAGAGGTTGCTATATCTGCTTTCTCTATTTGGTAAGGGTTTATTCACTTCCTTGATTCGTTTTGCTTTCTCTATTTTGCTGTATTCTCAAATTGATATTTCTTCCGATAACTTTGCAGCCTCAATATCAGCGGATGGGAATTTATGATAAGCCTTGGCTTCCAAGGTGCTGCATGGTATGCATTGTTTAATAGAATAATTTCTACTCTTCTAGCACTGATCGTGCCACCATTATGTGTCATAACTATCTTTTTTCTTTTCTTTTTCTTTTTTTAATGGTTTGCAGTGTTGCAAATGAATTAGGGAAGGGGAATGCTAAAGCTACAAAATTGTCAATCAAAGTTTCGTTGAGTACTTCAGTCATAATAGGCCTATTCTTCTCGATTGCATGCTTAGTCTTTGGTAATAAAATTGGATACTTGTTTACAACCGATAAGGAAGTGGCAGAGACTGTATCAGACCTTTCCCTCCTCCTTGCTTTCTCAATGTTACTCAATAGTGTTTATCCAGTACTCTCAGGTAAGTAACAACTTTCAGGGTATTGTAATTCTCCTTGTTTTCCAAATTTTATAACCCGAAATATTTTTGTGTTTAGCATGTTTCATTTGAACAATCAATTTCCTACTAACTTCTTAGCCTGCACACACACACATACAGATGTGCACATAGTATCGCAGCATTGCTTCTTTCTTTTTGTATTCTTGTTTTCATTCTTATATTGTTATTTATGTTTTAAAATCTTGTTTGCAGGGGTGGCAATAGGGTCGGGTCTGCAAAATACGGTTGCAATTGTCAATCTTTGTTGCTTTTTTTTGATTGGAATTCCTATTGGAGCTTTGCTCGGATACATGACTAATCTTCAAGTAAAGATGATGCCTCAATTATCTAACTATAGGAATTTTAATCTTAACTTCGGAAATAAAATGGGCACAATTCCTCGCTTGCTACGAGTTTAGGCCTTCAGAGATGATCATTAGTTCTGATGTCGAGCATTGCACCCATCAGTGGTGAGATGGAATTGAAATGCTTAAGTTTAGGAGGAAGGCATTCTATTTTGAAACACCTGATCGTGCAAAGCATACACTCAAAGATTGAAATTTCATTTCGCTTTTATCAAATATTTCGATTTCAGTAGAAAATGAAATTAATCTCTAATGGAAAATTGAAGTTCCTATATTTTGGATTGATTTGGACTGTTATGGGATATTTCAGTCAATGTTTTGAATTATTTCAGCTAATGTTTTGACAGAAAAATTTCAACTTTTTCTCTATATCTTTAGTTCCCCAGAAAATTCTAAAAAATCCCGTTTGTGAGCAAACCAAACTATGCACAAAACGAGTTTTTGATCATCTGATTGCACACTACATTCTTGGGCTTAAACTAACTGTTGCTATGTAATGATAATTAGGTGACATGGAAATTATATGCCTGTCGTTGTATATTTGTCCTAGTTACACTGAAATTTATCTTCATTTCTATATCCGTTTGTAGGGCATATGGATTGGGATGAACTGTGGTGGTAGCCCAGTCGCTTGCTCTTTGGCTTCTGACATGGAGAACTAATTGGGATGAACAGGTACGTTGAAAGACACTAATCTATGGAAACATAATCGAACTAATCATATGTGTTATTTTCCTAAAATGATTGTTATGCACTAGTATATAAGGCTTGCACACTACTGCTGCTGATAAATAAACTTCTTTCATTTTACAGGTGGTCAAAGCTTCGGAACGGCTTGGTAAATTTTACCTTAAATCCTCCGAGGAATCGAACCACAGTTCCATTCATGTTTGAGATCGAAGAACTGGAGGTTGATTAGAAATTTCTATTTCTTGCCACTAATTTTTTTGATTTGTATGACCATGACTATGTCTTGTTTGCTCGTCAATTTTAATAAAGGATCGCTTAAACTATAATTTATTGTCATCATTGTAATTTCATCCCATTATTATGTTTTCATCATTCTATCTTATTTAAGATTCTGAAAATCGGCAACATAACAGTAACGGTGTGCTCCGATCCCCTTACCGTCCCGTATAACGGATGAAATAAATTTCACAATAGTAACCCGTAACGGATACGGGTAAACTCGGCCACCCGAAATTTGATTAAAGTATAGAATCCAAATTTTAGTCCCAAATATCGATTCCATCGAAAAACCAAATCAGCCAAGTTCTCTCATCTTCCTTTACTCAAATACATGGTTTAGATTTAGAAAATCTTTCATATAAAAGCTTAAAAACGCACCTTTGCATACATATTTGGCTTGTTGAGGTGGTTTTCGAAACTTTGATCAAGTTCAAGGGTTTAACTATCGAAAGACTCGAAACTCGAACTGTGACCGCCTAACCGGTGCTCGAATCTGTGCTCTCCTCTGCTCGACGTGTTCGCTGCTTGCTTCAGATGATCGAAGACGAGTCAATCCCCATCTCCAATACGAGTTCCAGACGACTTCTCTCCATCGCTCCTTTTGGGTACACTGGGTGGGGCTCCTCTGCAGTTGGCAGTCAAACAGTAAAGCTTGTTGTTAAGTGGAATGGTGTCGTTCTACTCAAAAACAAAGTACCTAGCAACAAATCCAACGATGTCGTCCAAAGGCAGTCTAAAGGCAGTGGGTTTTCACCAATAACGAAGTCATCCCTCACTCCCTCCTTATGCAAAAACCAAACACACAGTCCTTCCAGGCTCCAACAAAGTTATTTCTCCCGTCCATAGCAAAAATCTTCTTGTTCCACTCAACATCCCGAAAAATTTCTCAGACAATTTTGTGTTTTTGAATTTCACTTTATAATTTTGGTAGAATTTATGTTATATCATATTTATTGCATTAAAATTAATTTTGTTAAATGATCTTTATTGCATCAACATTAATTTTGTTATATCACCATTATCTTTGGTTTTTTGTTATGTTATGTTGGAATTTTTTTATTATAAGCGGTGGAATTTTTATGTTTGAATTTATCACTATAAATTTTTGTATTCTTCGTCCTTCATTAGCTTTAACCTTTCGTGTTTCATTACGTTTATTATTCAACTCTTGAGAATAAGAAGGATAAATAGGATCCAACCATGCAAATAAGCTTCATTCACCAATGCCATTCTTTGACACTACAAACAAAAAATAAAAATGTTAGTATATGTTGGTACCAAAAATCGCAGCAATACATTCTTTATAACTTGGTGTCAAAAATTCCATTAGTTTTTGGAAGGTAAGTTCCATGCTTTTCTATTAGTTGTGTATTGAATAATTAATACAGTTCAAAAATTACTAAATTTATGAGATCTAGGTTAAATAAGACATAACTTAATAACATGTTGACTGATAAAATCTTATTTGTTGTGTATTCAAAAATTTAGGCTTCATTACTATTTCATTAAATTTTCACAGGCAACAAAAACCATTTTCTTGTTAGCTTACATTTGGATTATATAATCACTCATGAGAAAGGTTCAGAATTTATTAAAATTTGAGATAATGATTGTTGGAAGATATACTACTCAAATTACAAACCTTACATTGATGTTAGGACTTCGATTTCTCGAAGATGATTGTGGTCGACAGATTGCTCGAAGACAACTGTGGTTCGAGCAAGAATCGAAACGAGAAAGACAATCGTTCTTGCCTGAGAAGAAGACAAATGAAGGGTTGTCGATTTAGGGGAAAATCGATTGATGAAGGATTTTTGTTTAAGGGTTGGAGACGATGTCGTTATTGGTGAAAACCCACTACCCTTGGACGACATCGTTGGAGTTGTTGCTGGGTTCTTTGTTTTTTAGTGGAACGACATCATTCCACTTAACAACAAACTTTGTTGTTTGACTGCCAACTGCATAGGAGCCCCACCCAGGTATACTCCTTCCACCTTTTTTTTAAAGAATTACATTCAAACCCCGTAAGATTTGTCACTTAATCACTCAAACTCCTTAATATTTGAAATATTACATAGAGGCCCCTTAAAATTGTATGCGCATAACACTTAGACCCTTGTCATCAATATTCGTTAATATATCAATTAATAAATTATATCTAGACCCCCTAAAATTTGTAGGAGTGTAATCCTTAGACCATTCAAGTTTAAAACGTTAGACGAAAAATACTCCAATCAAAGATAGAATATAAAAAACTTTAAATTTTAAAACCAAAATTCATGTTCTATTATGAAATTTATTGAAATAAAATTTAAATTTTAAATTTAAATTTTTTCTTAAAAAATAGTAATTAGTATACAATTATACTATTTATTGAAATTTAATTTGATCGTTTAAACAACCAAATTAAACTACCAAATTACTCCAATTAAAATTAGAATATATTGTGTCCAATGCAGTTTGACCCCTTTTTTATTTTTTAGTTTTGTTTTAATAGATAGTATAGTTGTATACTAATTATGATTTTTATGAAAAAATAGATTTTTATTTTTTATTTTATTTTAATAAATGACACAATAGAACATGAATTTTGATTGTAAAATTCATGTTCTATTATGAATGATTTAGACCCCTTATTTATTTTTTTAGTTTTATTCCAATAGATAATATAATTGTATACTAATTATGATTTTTTTAAAAAAATTTGACTTTTTATTTTTGATTTTATTTCAATAAATGATACAATATATCATGAATTTTGGTTTTAAAATTTAAAATATTTGATATTCTATCTTTAATTAGAATATTTTTGATCTAAGTATAACATTTTAAATTTCAGAGGTCTAAATATTGTATGCTTATAAATTTTAAAGGGTCTGAGTGCAATTTACTAATGGATATATTGACTGACGGACATTTGACAGTAGAGGTCTAAGTTTTACACCCAAACAAATTTTAGGAGGTCTGTGTATAATATTTTAAATGTCAGAGTGTCTGAGTGATTAAGTAACAAACTTTAAGAGATCTGAGTGTGATTCTCCTTTATTTTTTAGGAAGTGGTGGTGTGTGTTTGAATATGGTTGTTGTGCGTTTGAGATATGTTTTTGGTCAAATAAAGGATCTTTCTAATTAAGTAATTTTAATAGAGTTGAGGGTAAATTACACTCACACCCCTTGACATTTATTTTATTACATGGACACTCCCTCTCGTTTCATCAATTACACTGAGACCCCAATGGTTAGACGGAGTTAACTATCTTAATAAAAAGACCATTTTGCCTCTCTATTTAACACAAACTTAAACCCAAACCCTAGGCCCCATCCCTAACCCTAATCTTCACCTCCTCTACACTTAGTAATCTAGTGTATGCTCTCTCTCTCTCTCTCTCGCGGTGAAGAACCAACCTGAAAATCATCAGTCTTCTCTCTCTCTCCCTTATCCCATCTCTGTTTTGTGTGTGTGTGCGTGTATAAATACACACAGACAGAGAGAGAGAGAGAAAAACCCTTGCCTGAAATTGCAGAAAAATCGACAAAAATTGCCAGCAACTCCCCACCACTGCAACACCCTCCAATGGACACCCTCATCCAAAACGTCAACCCACCTAAACAAAGAACATTGGCAGAGGAAAAGGGAAATAAAGAGATTGAAACTATCCAAGCTTAAAAAATACGAGAAATCGAAAGGACAATAGTGATTTTTGGGGTTCGATTTTAACAATGGTGGTTGTTGGGCTGTGTGTGTGATATGGTTGAGGAGGTGGTTGTGGAGATGAAAATGGAGATGGAGGTGGCAGGGTTTTGCTAGATTGTGGTGGTGGCGGTGGTGTGTGTGTTGTGTGGTTGTAGAGATGAAAATGGAGATGGGGGTGGGGGGTTACTCCATCATTGGCAGTGGTGGTGCTCCATATATGTGTGTGAAGAGAGAGAGGAGGTGGTGGTGGTGGTTTCCGTGGTGTGGAGGCGGCGATGGGTGGTGGCTAATGGTGTTAATGGTGCATTTAGGGGTCTGGATTGATAAATAGAATTTATGTAAATATGTTGTATAATAAAGAAAAAATTCTAGTATTTAACTGATTAATTTGATAGATATTTAATTAGAAAAATTTATTTTAAATATGAAATGTAAAATAGAGAAATGATAAAGGAGAGATGAGATAAAATTTTGGGGTAAGAAGAACAAATATTTGAATTTTTAAATTTAATTTTGAAGGGTATTTTTGGTATTTCACAAATTATTATTGATGACATCAACTTTGTTGGTGAACCATTCTAACGTCTATTAGTTGGAGGGGGTGTGGTTGTTATAAGTTTTAAATGCCCAGAGAGTTCTGTGTAATTGTTGAAATGTGAGGAGGTGTCCGTGTAATAAAACCAAATGTCAGGGGGTGTGAGTGTAATTTATCCTAGAGTTTACTAATTATTTTAATGTAGTTTACAAGGGTATCACAACTAACTAATTTTAGTGCAAGCACTAATCATTTTAATGAAAGTTTTGTGGGTCCATAATTCATTAATTATTTTAAATAAAGATTGTTTGGGTCTTATCATTCACTAATTTTATTTGGAGTAGATCTAGAACAGACATGTGGTAGAATAAAATAACTATAAATTAATCTTTTAACCCATTTAATATACTAATTTGTTATTCATATATGACGTAGATTTTTTTTTGATAGAATTGAAAATGCCT